CTTAGTCCGGCTTGATGCACTACCTTCAGCTGCTCTTGGCGGTAGATATCTTAAGACCCCCCTCTTCAGAATATTTACGCTTTTGTGGGTCTCATGCAAGAGAAGATCTAGCCCATTACTATGCTTCAATCTCCTTAATCACACTTCCTTTAAAAGGCAGAGAAGATGAGGTATATATCTCATTCCTCCTGGCAATCAGACCAACCTTACACATTCAGTAACCAACTTTTGCTTAGCAGCCATGAGTATAAAACTCACATTCTTTCTGACATAGAGAAGTATCCATCAAATATTTTAAACTATTCAAACTGCTAACCAGCATGCTGCTGTAGATAGAGTTTAATAACAAACAATGGCTGGATTTGAGGTCTAGGGCCTAGAGGTGAAAACTTGTATTGTCCAAATGTTATAGCATATTAAAGTATTACTTTCTCTCTCTCTAGTGATTCAGCTATTTTTATTTCTCGTTCTTAATTTGACTTAATTAGATTAATAATTAAAATATTTATGTGCATTATATATTTACCTCATACTTTGCTAATAAACATCTGCAATATTGATAAAGAATACAATTTGGACACCAGGTGAGATCAGTGATCACCAATACAATCAGTGATAAATCATGATTTATGCCATGCTGAATTCCTTCACTTCCTGACATACACAGAAACCATGGGAAAACAAAATCTAATACCTATATTTTGAAAAAAAAATTATTTCCACTGGTTAATAATGTTTTTTAACACCTTGCAAAAGACTCAGAGAAGCAAGACAGCCTAGGAGAATCTCAATAATATTTTTGATAACTCTGTCAAAAGATATAGAGGCCTGATATATAGTATACAACTCAAAGTCCTTACTTTTAACAAGAATGACAGAAAGCATGGATGTAATAGTTTCAGCCTTGAAGCATCCATAATATTTATGATATGATTTCAAAGTATGCAAGCCAAGTAGCACTCAGGCATCTACAGCGACACTGCTCAGCAAAGCTAAAAAAAAAGACACTGCACTCCTAGCAGAATGTTTGATCACCTCTCTGCCTGCTAGGCACTGGTATTTGTTTTAGGCCCTACTTCCAAAGAAAGCTTTAGTATCACTATCCTATGACATTGGTGCTTCTAAAATAATGATTCTATCTAGATACGCTTTTTTAAAAATCCTAAATCATTATAATAGGCAGTTAATGAAATACCATGATTCTTCTATCAGCCTGACAATATCTTTAAATAAACTTCAAGATTCTTACCTGTCAAATCTAATGTCCGGTCCACAAAAATTATAGCAGCTTTATTTTGTGCACTTTTCCTCCTGATCTTGGCCTGGGAATAATTTGCCAAATCCCCTGCAATAATCTTGCTCATTGGTCCAATGGCAAAACATTCCTCCCGAACACTAAGATACTCAAATAAGATATTGAGATCAGACACCAGTGATCTGATCTCAAGCTGCAACTCTGAAGGCAGAGAGAAGAAGTCCACATCATTCAAGTGAGCAATTTTTTTCTTCTCTGGTCGAGCACTATTAATTTGAGTCAAATCTTCAGCCATCAAAGGGAAAAGTGTGGAAAAGGCAGGTGTTACAAAGAGGTGGGGTAAGATGGGTGCCAGAAACAAAGCAGCATGGTGCACCTCTGCAGTGTAGTTCATGTTGCCCATCCACTGGCAAAGCTTCTCTTCAAACTGCTCAAAGACTACCTGGCCAGAACTTTCAGTCTCAGCACTGCTGGGAGTATTATACGCTTGCAAATGCAGAGTGTGGTTGACGCCAGTGAAAACCACACAGTCCTGGAAGTTGCTGAGGCTCACAATGTCACGAATGATGTCCACAGTCCGGCCTTTCAAGGAGGTGCTGACCACGAAGACCGCCTTGGGTTGCTTGGCCTCCCCCGACTCAAAGCTGGAGAACTCCTTGACGTTGAGAGCCCCGGCCTGCAAGAGCCGGCTGACTCCGCCACAGGCCCAGTGAAGGCTTTCCGCGCAAGCTGAGTCCATGAACACAACTGCTCGCTCCACCTTAGTAAACACCTGCTCCCAAGCTTGCTGGCAAAAGGAAGACACCCTAGCTGGGGACTTAGGAAGGGCGGTGGCTGCAGACATCGTGGGGCCCAAACACTTAGAAATCCCCCTTCGGTCTTCAAAAGGCAGCAGTCAAACTGCCCCGGATAGCGGGCACCCCCAGGCTAGCAAGCGAGGCAATAAAGCGCGGAAAGAAGCCCTTTAACCTCCATTGCTTGGGAAGCTTGTTACTATGCGCCACCGGGTAGCACGCCGAGATCAGCCGTAAAAAGAGGTCGGGCTCGAATCCGGGGGGGGGGGCAGGCTGACAGAAAGCCGCCACCTCTCGATCAAGAGAGCACAGCCGGGGTGATCCGGAAAGCCAGAGCATCACCTGCCACAACATCCACCCATGCTATTCGCAAGGCGGGTGCGGAGAGATGACGTCCTTTTTCAGCGCCCAACGCTGATTGGCTGTTTAAGGGTGAGCCGAGGACTGGCTCAGGCGTCGGAAATTTGGATCCCAGGAGCTTAACCCTTTAATTTGCGGACAGGAGCGAGGGAGAAATAAGAGACTGTAACCTACGCGGTGCGGATAGGTCTTCGGTGCTGGTCACAGACAGCTCGTTATCCTTTCTCTCTATTTTAAGCCTTTTTTCTATCCTGATATTTTCCCACTTCACTTTAAACCTCTTCTTCTTAAATCTGAATTAATATTGTACTGGTTATCTAAAACTTGGCACAACATAGAATACCTAGTTGCTTTTATGTGTTGATAATGATACAGCGATAATAACAACGTCATAAGACTGCTTGTGTCTGACTGTGGGATTAACATAATGATTGTATTACAGGTTCAATATCTGCAGAATATCACCATCATTGTTATTCAGTATTACAAAAACTGGAGTTCTTCATTTCTAGAGAACACAATTTTAATAGATAAAAGTAAGGATTTTATTTTACTTATTTCACTAGTTGTTTTCCAGCTCCAAGAGACTCTGATTGGCGAGATTGTTTTAAAAAGTTACATAATAAACATGACACTTGAAGGTTTGGGAGCTTTAAAATAAAGGACTAAAATAAGTTTACATTTTTTTCCCCAACAGATTGGACACTGTGGAAATCAGGTAACATAGTAAAGTAAGTGTATCCATCTTTATAGACCAGAGAATATTATTACATGTAACAAGTGCAAACTATTTATCAAGTCAAGGAGATATGAAGTTTAGACAGATAACAGACTGAACTGTCTAGACTGCGAGTCAAACACATGCATAACACAGGTATGTTAATTCATAGCTCCAGATCACAAAATGCACCATACTACAAAGCACCTGTGGCCAGTAGTGTGTGTCATCTGGGATTAAATGTTGCTAGTATTTCCTAGCTAGTTCTAACTGCATGGACTTCAACTTCCAGAATTCTCACCAATGGCCATGCCAGCTGAGGAACTCTGGGAGTTGAAGTCCATACATCTGGAAGTTGCCAAGATTAGGCAGCATCTCTAGAAGATTGCTGCTAATATATTTTATTAACAGTAAAATAGTCTTTAGTAAAGGTTACCAGATTCCACAGTCTTTTATAAGGGATTGGTGCAAGACTGCTAGTATAGAAATGATTTTATTTAATCCAAGAGTCATTCACCAAGGCTAAACTATGTTTAATGACAGGGTTCAGCCTTGGAAGGATATAAAGTATAAAACAATAAAGGGAATGTAAGTATATACAGAATGTTACTAACTCATTGTGGCCTGATCATAATCAGCTCATAAACACCTGGAGGTCTTCCAAAGCCAAAGAATTGGGCTTTTTAGGCAGTCTTGAGTTCTGCTCCTCTTATTTTAGAAAAGAATAGTTGATTTTAAAAGTTACATACCCTTTCTGATCCTTTACTAAGCAGCATGGAAAGTTGAAGATAATGACAGGGAGGAAGAAAGGAACAGAAGAGCAGTGGTATACAGAAAGGACTTTTGGAATGAAAGGTTATAAAGGTAATGTTTAGAGGGCAAGGGGATTGTGTGTGTATGTGAAAGAAAAGAAAATGTTGGTAGGATAAAGTGACAACTTTGGTCTTACAGCATCAGAAATTGCAAAATACTATGCTGATGCCTCATAAAGAGTAAGGGAATTATGAGCTCTTAGTGAGTGGAAAACTTTTTTGATATTCTATTATTCTACTTAAGAGAGAAAAACAATTATGCCAGAAAGTCCGCAATATTTACTTTTTTTTTTTTGCAGGGAGAGAACAACTTTAAAATGGATTTAGGGTTGAGAAATTTAATAATCCAAGACCTGTGCAGCAGTTGCACTTGAGCATCTTTCTTGGGGGTTAGGCCAAATATCCTTGGAGAGCTGATTATTATCTCCAGTGGGGGGTTCGTTTAAGTGTGTTGTGTAGAAGCAAGTGAATAAAATGCTCATCTTTGTTGCAAATCCACTAGTGACTTGTGGCGGGTGGTCCTGTTCTATTATCATTGGTATCAGGATTACAACCTAGGAAATTTTATTTTTAGTCTTTGAAATGTCAATTAGGCGAGAAACCTTTATGCTTTCTGGAATCTCTAAATGCGTTAAGACACAGACTGAAATCAGGTCAGATGGAGGGCTTAGCCTAAGCGGACCCGGACACACCGTCCAGCAAAGTGGAAGCGCATTTCCCAGAATGCCCCGCTTCAGGCTGGGGGGTGGACCGACGCACCTGTAGGGCGCCGCGTTGGGGAAGGCTGAGCGTGTTGGGCCCGGCTTCCGTGCCAGCGCGTTCAGGACGGCGCCGAGTCGCCTCAGGGCCGGGAGAAGACTCGTCGATTCGCCCGTTCTCCCTAAATCCCCTCTAGGCCTCAGGGGAAGCGGAGGCCGCCAACGCCCGCCCCTGTCAGGCAGAGACGGGGACGGGGGGAGAGGCCTCTCTACCGTCACGACTCCCGCCGACACCACTCTGCTCCGCTCCTCTCGTTGCCACGAGAAGGGGGGTTTTTGTGCGCAAGCGCGCTGCGTAGCCAAACCTCGCGCGGCGGGTCCGTGGAGCGCGTGTACGGGGAGGGAAATCAGCCATGTCGGCGGTCGGCGGGGGGGGGCGG